GACTCGAAAAACCCGAAGACTCGAGATGAACTAATCAATTCTCTTTCCAGCTCAGACTGCATTGATTAAAGCTTATGGGGCTGTCACGTGATGAATGATCGACTCGAAAAACCCGAAGACTCGAGATGAACTAATCAATTCTCTTTCCAGCTCAGACTGCATTGGTTAAAGCTTATGGGGCTGTCACGTGATGAATGATCGACTCGAAAAACCCGAAGACTCGAGATGAACTAATCAATTCTCTTTCCAGCTCAGACTGCATTGTTTAAAGCTTATGGGGCTGTCACGTGATGAATGATCGACTCGAAAAACCCGAAGACTCGAGATGAACTAATCAATTCTCTTTCCAGCTCAGACTGCATTGTTTAAAGCTTATGGGGCTGTCACGTGATGAACGAACGACTCGGGAAAACCCGAAGACTCGAACCAGGTGAACTACTTGACTAATTCCAGTACAGAATTAGCATTATACGCATACATTTTGTATCGTATACGCGATTCGTCCACACGGATCCGGCGTTTTGGGAGAGTGAAACCGATATTCCCAGAGTGGATAAATCTGAAAACGCCGCCCTTGCGTTTTCGTGAGGACAGTGAATCTGTATTTTTTCTATTTCAGCCCACGTCTCGCCCCTAGTCAGACACCACTACGTCACGTAACAGCAACAAAAACATGAACAAACACTGAACGATTGTCTTTTTATTAACTAACATTAACACAGATCAATAAATGTATTGTTCCATGTTCGTTTGTATAGGTTTATGCACATATGGTCCAAGTCTTCTTCTCCGTTTTTAGTGTATCTCTGTGGCAGAATTACAGCGCCACATACTGGTCTGGCATGTATACTACATCGTTTTGTGTCGGTTTTGTGGTTTTGTGTGGACGCAGATATTTCTTGAGACGAGGGGGAAAAAAAGATGGGTATAGGGATCTGGCTTCGTGTGGACGTAGCCTTAGAGTTGATATAAAATTACACTGAAAGTCCGCTGGATGAACAGATTAGTTGATTGTATTATTAATTCTGCTACAGTTACTATTGGCAGCTGATATAAATAATTGAAATGAATTATAATTAATTGTAATTATTTATATACATTTCCCTTTTTAGCTAATTTGCTACACTTGCCAAGTAAATAAATGAATGCACTTGAATTATCAGAAATTATTTTATTATGTTAAAAAAATGTTGAAGTGATACAAGAGACCTGAAAGTATAGCACAGTGTCAAGTCAAGTCAAGTCACCTTTATTTATATAGCGCTTTTAACAATACAGATTGTGTCAAAGCAACTGAACAGCATTAATTAGGAAAATAGTGTGTCAATAATGCAAAATGACAATAGTAAACACTCATTTTTCAGTTAAAGACAGTTCATCATTCAATTCAGTGATGTCATCATCCAGCTCAGTTCAGTTTAAATAGTATCTTTGCAATCATTTGCAATCAAGTCAACGTGTATGAGGTTATACATTCATTATACAAAAATATTTGACCAATAAGAAACACTACTCCAGAAAGCTGTATAATAACATCTTTCAAGTTTAATTATCAGGACACATGGTGGTGGCATATGGCAATTAGCATGTGCTTGTTTTAATAAGGCAAGGCATGGATCATGCTGGTACTTTTATTCTTGTATGATTTGTGCACCCTGAAAGGGAACACAAGAGACTCTAACTTTATGGAGACTGAACAACAGAGGCATAATTATTAACACACTAATGCACACGGATAAACACACGATACACAATCCTGCAGCTCAATCCCCAGTGTGCTCATGTTTTTCACACATAAAAGTGGCTACAAATTTATATCAATTGGACCTGACAGCAAACCTACCACGCCTAAACGGTGTTACTCTTTTTACATGCAAAGAGGTTAGTCAATCAGAACCGTGGTCATTTATTTAGAGGTCTTAAAGGTACAGTAGCAAAAGACTGCTTTAAAGGAGTAGTTCACCCAAAAGTTAACACCTGTCATTATTTACTCATGTAAATTATACTTTTAAGGTGTTTTTCTGCCCTTTTAAAGCTCCAGGTCTCATTTTTTTTAAATTGCATGGAATTGTTTTTTTTTTTCCTGTTCCACGGAAGAAATAGTCTTATAGGTTTGGAACGACACAAGAGCAAGTAAATTATCATCTTTATTTGAATTATTATTATGTGATGCCTATTAATAATGAACAATAATATGAATAATAATTGATTATTCATTATTATTATTATTATTATTCTTAATTTTGTAAAAAGGCCAGATTGTGGGAGTAAAAAATATCAAATATCAAGATTGGAAAATGCTCATGCAAAAATAAACCCTCTAGTGCTTTGTCTACTGGTCTAGTGCAGGAAACCTTGACTAACCTTGTAAGTAGACCTAAAAGTAGACCTTAAGATGTGTCCCTCACATCCTCAATATTATTATTTTATGACAAACGCCTAGACCACAACTCACATGCTAATTTCAAACGATCTGCTGCTCAAGGTAAATGAGCAGACAGATCATTTATAATTCTGTGGACGTGACCAAAGTATTCATTGAAGAACCACAGGCTTATGAGCTCTCTCTTGCACATGAATACAAATACAGGTCTTGTATTAGCCGGCCTGCTGATAGTTTTAAAACGGATCCACGGAACTGATCAATCCAGGCCTGAATGCGGCTCAACTGGTGGAATACGGCTTAGCAGAAGCGAATCCCTGTGAACAAACACTCTTCCTCGGGGTCTCAAACTGGATAAACTGTCACCTGAACACACACCTACACAAGCTAAAGAGGAGGGAGAGTGTGTGAGAGAGACTTTTCTCTGCATTGTAATTCTTTGTCACAGTATGGCATGACTGATGCCTTGATTTGGAGCTGGTATATCCGGAGCACTCTAGAGGTGCCAGCTACGGGAGACATTCATTACAACCACAGTGACTGTAGCAAAGATAACAGCAGCCAAGATTATACGACTAATCGTGCTCTGATAGACGAGAGAAGAACCAAACGTTGTTTTCCCCAATTACAGTCTGATGTCTTTCTACGCACTGCTGCTTCCTGAGGTTTGAGAACCAAATAATGACAGTGTAGCCTGACAACGGTAGAAATTCATACACTTGTAGTGACAAGATGTGATGTGATGTGGGTAAGAAGCATTGTCTTGTTTTACTGTAAAACATCTAAACCTCCTTGAAAATTAGATCAATGATATGGCATGCTAATATTTTTCACTTTCTATTAATTAATTAAAAACACAATTCAAGCATACAATTATGTGAATACATTTTTCTATGGTTAGCATGTTTTTAATTTCCATATAAAAATTCATTTTGGGGGGCATAAAGTTAAAAATGTCAGGGTAATATAACTGTCCCGAAACCATTGAAAAAAAAACCCTTATTAAAAGAATGAAATTATATAATTTTATAATATTCTTTTATTTAAATTTTTCCACTGGGAAAAAATTTAAACTGCTTTAGTATTAATATTCGAAAAACATTTGTCTGTCAAATTATCAAATGGTGTAACTAACATTCAGAAATGATAAAACAGGAAATTACATAACTGATAGGTCCCCTGAAGACCCTCATGACTGTGTGTCAAGGTCAATTAGACATTTTTTTAAAATAGATATTTAAAATTTTGAGGCAGGTTAGTTCAGATTGTGGTGCAACTCCAACAAAACATAATGATGTTTTTGAATTGAAAAATTCTGGTAACTGTAAATCAACTGTAAAAATCACATGCATTCACGGTATAAGAAAAGCATGGCTTTTTACTGTTCATTAAACTTTGGAAATGGTGTAGAAACTAACTAACACTTTTCTTTTTTCATGGACACTCTTATTTTTCATTAACCCCAGAAGCAAAATTGCAAGAAATAAGACTAATTTTCAAAGAATAATCAATTAATTAAGTTTATTTTTCTTACCCCATTGTCAAATTAGGCATAAACAAACAACATTTAGTGAGGTTCATGCCTAATTTGACAATAAGTTAAAAAAATAAGCATAATTCAGAGCATATTCCCTGAAAACATGTCTTTTAATTTCTTACACAATTTAGCTTATAGTTTTTAGACTTTCTTTAAGTGGAAAAACTTTTTTGCAGTGTAGTAAGGAAAAAAGCTTGACCAGCACAGTCTTTTCAACAAAGAATTAGTCAAAATCAGGAGGAAACACTGTTCTTACCATTCTCCAGCATGGTGATGCCCATAGAGGGCTGCCCCAGTCCTGTCTTCCTCTCCCACTTTCCCTCATCAGGGTGATATACTTCCACTGAGGCCAGTGGGCTCTGCTGCACGTTCATGCCTCCCATGACCATCAGCTGGTCTCCGACGGCCACGGCGGATGCCCCGGCCCGAGCGGTGAGGAGAGGGGGCAGCTCACACCAGCGCTGGCTCTCCAGATCCAGCACCTCAACAGAGTCCAGAGAAAGGCCGTTCTCACTGCAGCCCCCCAGCACGTAGAGGCGCCCAGCCCAGAGCACGGGCGTGCAGTACACCCGCTGCGTGGCCATGGAGGGGAACACCTCCCAGTACAGAGACTTCACCGGGCTCAAAGCCATCTCGGGGATGGGCATGGCTCCAGGACGGCACACCGGCAACAGAGCATTATACGGGCACAGAGGAGGAGGGCTGAGGAACGTGAAAATCAAGGCATATGCATCAACAAACCACCAGGCTAGAGATCAGGAGCAACTGCCAGTCTGCCAGAGACCTCAGTTCTAGCTCTCGCTCGCTCGGAGCCGGCAGGTGGAGGGAGTTGAGCGTTTCCTTCAGCGCTGTCTGTGAAGAACTAGCCCTCACTCCCTCTTGATGATTTACAAATTTTTGTTGCTGCTCTTAAAAGGTGCATCAGGCCCTTTTAAGTCTTTCCTGTCATCTTCCACGAGCCGTGCAGTTGTAAAAAAATATGGCAAGAATGTGTAACCCCGACACGAAATAAACTAATTTATCCACGTGGAACGCTGCTCTGTAGTCCAGCCAAATGTGTCGGTGCAACCCTCATGGCTGCCGCTGCAAGGAACAGGAAAAGAGAGACAGTAACAGAGCAAGCGCAAGATAAAAGACAATATAATCCCGCTAATCAAAGAGAAAATTCCCAGCTTGCTGAAGGCTGATGTGTGGACAGAGGCAAGCTGTTGGTGGAGATTGTGGTGCTCTAACACTTATTCAAATAAACTGTATAATTCAATGGCCAGAGCGCTGACATTTACCATTCACTATTTACTGCCAAGGGCTCAAGGGTAGATGTACGTGCATGTGTATGTGTGTGTGTGTGTGTGAAGGTGCTTGGCCACAGAGCAGTAGTCTGGCCCTTTCCAAAGGTCACTGTGTCTGCAGGGACCAACGGCCCTGGATAGTCACTGAACCAGGCTAATTTGAACCTGTGCATCATTAATTAAAGGCTTCATTATAGCGGGATGTGTGAATGGGACGTCAGTGGTGGAGAGAAAGAGAAGCACTAGAAAGGTTACAGACGTTATACTCAAAAACTTACTAGGTGCATGTGTGAGAGAGAGCGGGATCTCTTGGGCTTCTTTTGGGTAATCGCATAGGTAAAGAGAACCAAAAATGTGAGGAAAGCAGATCAGATGTCTCCAGCGTTGTGCATCCCTCTACATCGCAGCATATCTCCAGATGTAGTTATGTTTCCTCCGTGGTCTAAATCGGTTCGGCTATGTAATTAAGATGCTGTGGATGTTGAGCCCAAGCCACATGCTATGACACACAGTGCGGGAGGGCTAACGGCTCCAAACTGACTACGAATTATGCAGAAAAACATCAGTTTCATCAGGAGCCAAAGTGCTGCAGCTGGGCGCTCTGACTGAGTACAATTAATCCATATCATATGACACCATCAGGCTCTTCTTTGGGTTTTTTGTAAGTTTTGTAAGTTAACTTAATCCTGTCGGTCAGCTTTTAGTACACTTTCCTTGGCTTTTCGTCCATGTAGAGAGAAAAGACAGATGCCAAAGTCTCATTTCCTACAGAACATGGGAAAAATCCCAGTTGTTTAAGCTCTAGTTTCCCTGATATAGACTTTAATCCACACAGAAGGAAGAGTGTCCTGGGATTTGTGGGAGATGATGTTGTCACGTGTATGTGCTGTCCAGTAGATCCGTGGGATAAACATCAGCTCCTAGGAAACAGAGAGGAAGTAACAATAAACAAAACTAAGTACTGGAAGAATGATGGATGGAGAAAAAAAGAGGGAGCAATAGGCAGAGAGCCAAGAAGAAGAGAAACAGATGTTTATGTTGTGTTTTGGGAAGGACTCCTATCTATAATTAGGCAGAGACATCATGTCTTGCATAAAGAGTCATATTGAGGCTAAAATTGCAGATGGCAACAAAACTAGAAGCGTATAAAGCTGTGTTAACACTAAAAAATATCTCTGCAGACTGCAAAACAAAAAACTTTCATAATAAAAATACAGACTATGGCATGTCTAAGCATCTTTTTCCTCCCCACTGAGTGAATTCACTCGTGCTATTAAGTTTTTAAAAAACCTTTTTGAACCCTGCGGTAATGTTGTCCTAACCTATGAAATTGATTTTCTATGAAGTGTGTGCTCACAGGGAGAAATTTCTACATTCACTTCTCCACACTAACTCGAGGTGAGCTGTATTTAGACCCAGAGCCCTAAAGAGGCACTTTACTGTATTTTAGAGAAACTTGTGTGTTTTAAGGGAGCTGTATTCTACCGAAGCAGGTAAAAGCTGTTTTTCTACTCATTTCTTCTGTAACAACATCAGGTAGCAGCCATGAGAGACCCTGAGACAGGTGCAGTCTTCATTTTGGCACATTTCTCAATTTCAGACAGTTTGAGGCCCTTGAATCCGCAGAGCACACAGCAAAACCACAGGCAGACAGCTGCTAAAGTTTATAAAATCCACAAAAGACAGGAAACTTTAGTGTTACTGAAGGTTTGAAGCGTCAAAATAATCATATTTAATGAAATCAAACACCGAGATGCACAATTAAACTGCAAAGAATCATTTTCTTAATGGGTATTTTCATTTTGTTTTCCACTGGAAATATCTAAACATCCTTGAAACATAATTTGTCAGTGGAGTTAAGAATAAACTTCAATGTTGATAAGTCAAGGCTTAATATCATATGCAAATTATGGTTTATGTAAATAGTCTTGTTTTGGGGAGATTTACATATTGTTATTGGAAAACAAGACAAAAATACTAATTAAGACTTAAGATTTTTGCAATAGGACTGTGCATTTATTTGACAAATGGCAGTCTTGTGGATGAGTCCAAAAGATAAAAGCCTGTGTTGTCCTTGTCAGCAAGGGAAAAAAACAGCATATCTCTTATGCCTGCCCTCCTTTACACTGCCAGGATAATGTGTGTGTCCTTGTTGAACACTTGTGTGTGAACTGAAAAAGGCAAAAACAAACAAACAAAAAGATTCTTTCCCTAATTAAACCTGTGAGCTCTGAAGGCTAAGACCTCCAGAGCATCATGCCATATCTGCACCCTCAATATGACAGAAACCACATTCTCAAAGGAAACCATGTGAAGAACAGTGGCTTCATGACAGACAGACAAACAGATAGACAGATAGACAGACAGACAGATGGCAGTGCTATTGTGGTGGAGAACACAACCTGTAGGGAATCCTATGGAAATGTTTTAATTCATTATGATGCTTAATTAATAGGATGAATTATAAATGCTAAGCAGAAAAAATTGAACATTCTGATCCCTGATCAACACAGTACTGAGTGAAAAAGATGGATTGGCCTTGGGCACAGCTGACAGTTTTCCAGAAACATACTGTTGGATGAATCAAGTATTCTGTACAAACAGTTCTTGGTTTCAGCAGAGGCTCCATGTCTGCTTGGTAAGACTTCTGGCTCTGTCTTCACTCTGTCTGCGCTGGAAGAGACACAGAGGCATTATTTTCTCTTAAAGACGGGTTCAAGTCCATACCTGAGCTCCAGATAACATTTAGAAGGCAGATCAGCCTTAATTCCACAACTTCACGATTGATCCAGGCTCAAAGAGCGTGTTTTCTTTATCTGTTCCCATCATCCCTTAACAGTCAGATTTTTTCATGCCTGCCATTGCTTACGTTCATTCCAAGCAAATGTACACGCAATAGTGATCCTTTGTTTCCATTCTCCACCATCCTCTCCTGTCTCAGTCAGTCTCTCCCTTCACGCTACCATTGACCGTCGTTGATCACAGGAGCCCCCGCATTTCTCAGGCGTTTAGCCTTCGGCACAAAAACATGATTACTTTGAGTACTTTGAGTACATGAGTTTCCCAGGGAAAGGGAGCTGAGCCGGTGGGGCACTGGAGTACATGCAGCATGCAGGGTGTGTTCAAAACAGCAGAGTAACACAAAACACTGAGACTCATGCTAAAAGGCATGAAAACATACCGACTGCATTAATTTCTTCTATAATGTGAGGTCCAATGGCAACATGTCAAACATGTTTGATGCAAGTATACTCATAGCTAGGGCAAATATTATACAAAAATAGTTGAACTGGTTCCCTCCTAAGGTACTGTCACGAATTCGGTCCATGGACTTCCATTTATTCACCACCAGAGGTCACCCTTTCCTTTACATTGACTCTCGCACAACACAAACTGTTGCATAGCACCCCGGGCTACATATCCCATCATTCATTGCACGATTTGCACACTGCACTGATTGTACTCATTGCACACAGCTGTTTCTTATCACCTCACTCACTATATAACACCCACTCAAACCACTATTCTCTGCTGAGTATTGTTTAGCCTGTACCCCTTTCAGAGTCTCCGTGTTTTCCTTGTTTTGCGGTTTCTGATCTTTGCCTGTTTTCCTGGATTTTTTCCTCTCGTCTCGCCCCTGTGATTCTGTCTGCCGATCGGTGACCTACGCTAGCCGATCTATTCTTGTGTTTTTGGACTATTCTTGTGTTTTTGCCCGCCATATACCTGTTTGCCATTGTTCGACCCTGCCTGTTATACCACGTCTCTTTAATAAAAGCTTGCAGATGGATCCACACGTCTCACATCTCGTCAGCCCCGTTACAGAATACTCAGCCCTACAAGGACCCAGCAGCTTTTCTGAGGAACATTGGCCAGGCATGGACACAGCAAGGATTTTGTTAGCCCTTAAACAGGGTCCACGATCATTGGAGAACCATATCCGAGAGTTTTTAGCCATCGCTCACTATTCTGAGTTACCAGACTGTTTATTGATAGAGTTTTTCTGCGATGGCATAAATCAACCTCTTAGGGCTAAGCTTAGACGCGAGGGTCCACATTCATCACTCGCTCAGTTCATGGATTATGCTTTGCTGACTGTCGGATCTTTGTTTACTGTGGGTGTCGCGGAGGAAGAACGCGACACAATGTCTGTGACTGAAGTGGTGGCTGTACCAGAGCACGCTCACAAAATGGCGGCGGCAGCGGAGCCTGAATGCAAAATGGCGGCCACACTAGAGCACGCTCACAAGATGGCGGCGACAGCGGAGCACACTCACAAGATGGCGGACACAACAGCATCTAGTCAAGTCACCCTGAGTTCAGGCAAGCCACAGCTAATCTTCCCGAGTCAAGTATAGTCACAGTTGATCTTCCTGAGTCGAGTCTAGTCACAGTTGATCGTCATGAGTCAAATCGAGTCACAGTTTATTATCCTGAGTCTGGTCAAGTCACAGCTGATCTTCCTGAGTCAAGTCTAGTCACAG